ATGTTTTGAAACTTTATTGGCTATTTTTAAAACACTTCATATTATTATTTTTTAAACAATTTCTTAGTGATTTCTTCCTCAGTACTTCAACTGTCTTTTTATTCTTTTATTTTTCTCTTTCATGGATGCCATGTTCTTTGGAAGCTTGTTTAGACCAAGTTAATGGCCTTTTAGGCTTCCTCCATGTGAATGGGAGTTCACTTTCTGAATAATAAGAATTATATGTCATGGGGATGGGGGGGGCATCAGGATTTTAGAGATGCTTAGGTGGGGCATGGCCAAAAAAGATTGGGAACCACTGTTCTAGAGGCTCTGGGGGAGAAATTATTTGCTTGAATTCTCCAGCCTCTGGGGTTGGCCTGCATTCCTTGGCTCATTTATCCTCCTGACCCCTGGAGAGAGACTGTGGCAGGACAGACCACATGGAAACCCTTAGCACTGTCCCACCACAACTACATGGTGAACCAAAATAATACTGCATTTCTGGGCAAATACAGAGGTTAGGGTCACTAATCTAAAGCTCTGAAATAGGCAGGGGTGTGGGTTTCCTATCCCACACTCACTGAAACTGTCCTGCTCAGCCTGTGCAAAGTAAAATGGATTGTGGGAAATTATTATGAATCCATCTCAGCTGACATCTCAGGTATGGTAACTTTAAGAGGTCAAGCAATACAGTCCTGGTTTCTGGGGCTACTAAACTGATGAGCACTTTTTCCCCCTTGAGTTTAATTAATAAAGACCAACTTAAAAAGTCTGCCTTTACCTGGAAGAGGCAACAGTTTATCTTCACCATCTTACTTCAGGGCTAAGCCAACTCTCTTGCTCTGTGTTATAACATAGTCTATTGAAAACTAGATCATCTTGCTGTCCCATAGAACATCACATTGGTCCATTACATGGTGACATTATGCTAATTCGTCCTGGCATACATAAGTAGCAAATTCCTTAAATGCTTTAGTAAGATAAATGTAGCCACGTGGTAGAGGATAAATCCCATGAAGATTTTTGAAAGTTTCAAGGCACCCAGTGGTTTAGAACATGTCAGGACACACCTGCTAAATGCAAGTTAAGTTACTACACCTTGCATGCCCACCACAAGCGGGACAATGTTTGCCAGAACTCTTTGGATTTTGGAGACACCATATACCACAAATGGATGTGCTTCTCCAACCCATTTGGTCAGTAACCTATAAGGCTGTCTGCTTTGAATAAAGCCTGGAGCAAGAGAGGGCTCCCTAGGTCCAGACTATAGTACAAGCTACCCTGATACTGGGGTTCTAATGACCTAGCAGACACAATAGTTGCCGGAAGTGTCTGTGGCAACCTGAGAAAACTTATAGAGCCTCCAGTAAACCCCAATAGGAGAATCACAGAGGATATGCTTAACGTTTTTAGAATAAAGCCAGGCCATTTTTTAAAAAATGTATTCGTTATCTATTGATATATAATAAAATACCCCATATCTTTTGGGGCTCTTCTTGGATGATGGCTACAACAACCAATGACTATTCACTGTATGAAAATCAACTTCTTTCTTTTTATTTTTGTGTCCTTCTTTCCCCTCTGCCTAGCCCATGCCCCCAGTGCTGCTTCCCCAGAATTGATTGTGTTTTATTTTAAAATGTTTTAATTAAAGCATAGTTACACAGTATTATATTAGTTTCAGGTGTACAACATAATGATTCGACATTTACATACCTGACGGTGTGATCAACATGTTAAGTTTAGCAGCCATCTGTCTCCATGAAAAGTTATTACAATATTATTGACTATATTCCCTGAGCTGTACATTGCATCTCCACGGCTTATGTTTTTATAACTGGAAGTTTGTACGTTTTATTCACCTTCACCTTTCTCAACCATCCCCTACCCCCTAGGCTCCTCTCTTTCTACAAGGTTTTGGTAGAGACTGAAAGCATGGTCATGGAACACCAAGCACATAGGTTTGCTAGGGCTACCATAACAAAGCATCACCAATTGGGTGGCTTAAACAACAGAAATGTGTTGTCTCACTGTTCTGGAGGCTGAAAGTCCAGAATCAAGGGATTGACAAGGTTGCAACGTTCCTTCTGAGGCCTGTGAGGGAAGGATGTGTTCCAAGCTTCTCTCTTTCATTCGTTGAAAACTGCCTTCTTCCTGTGTTTCTTCACACCATCTTCTCTCTATGTGTGTCTGTGTGTGCAAATTTCCCCTTTTAATAAGGACACTGGTCATTTTGGATCAGAGCACACCCTTAATGACTTCCTTTCAGCCTGATTACTTCTGTGAAGACCTGATCTCCAAAGAAGGTCACTTTCTAAAATACTGGTGATTAGGAGTCCAACGTATCTCTTTTGGAGGGGACACAGTTCAACCCAGAACAACAAGTAACCGTACAACCTGAACTACCCATAATAAACTGATCGTTACCTGATCCACCAAATGATAGTTGGGCATGCTCAGCAGCATCCCATTATTAAGTGAAAATGGCATCTATAAGCTATAGGAGATAAACCCAAGTGCCCCAGAGGCACAAGAAGTTCATATGAGCAGAGAATTCGGACTCCATGGTACCCGCTTCCACTGTTTCAGTGTCTCTCCCTCCACACATTCCTGTACTTTCATGGGGAGTACCATATAACCAAGCAACAGAGGAGGAAAAAGAGTGGGCCTTATGCAAAGTAAGTTGGTACCAGTCATTGAGTCATCACAGCCCCTTCTCAGGGATACCCTGAAATACTGTAGAAAGAGAAATCTTCCTAACAGACAGAACTTTGAGTAGTACATCTGTTTTTCCATTTTGTATGGAAAGAGAGATGGCCTAATATAAAATTACACTGACTCATAAGTGGTAGCTAATGTGTTGGCCAGCTGTTTCCTAGAGACTTTTCAAAAACAAGATTGAAAGACTGGTGACAAAGGTCTGAGTGAGGGAGATATGTGGAAGAATTTTTCGAAATGGGCATCAAGTGTGAAGACATGTGTCTCATGCCATGGCCTCCATAGAACAAGATGATATGTTCCTTGGATGGTACCCAACCTTTCCCTAACCTCCCCAGAGTTTGCTGGATGTACAGTGCCATGGTGTGGGCCTGGAGGTTAAGCATAGGCTCAATGCATGCATGGCCCACCCCAAAGCTGTAGCTTCCTTCCTCCATTGCTGAGTGTACAAACTGGTGAGAGCAGAGGCTGACACTGAGCTCTCAATATGGCACTATTCCCTCTCATCTTTGTTAGAAGTTCTGTTTTCACCGCTCCAGCTCACAGGCTCCAGTAACAATATTGCTATTGACACACTTTTACCAGAAGCTGGAAGAGGGAGGCGGGGATGGATTTGAGAGATTCTGGTAAAGGCAGAATTGGTGAGGAACTGGTGATGAAGTGAGTTGAAGCAAGAAGAGGAAACCTGAGATGACTAAAGTTTTCAGTTTCTACTGGTGGTGAAGTGACTATAGCAGGAGAGTAGAAGAGAAACCTGTTAGGTTAGGTGGCTCAGGAGGCGGCGCAAGAAATAGAGTCCAGTGAATCAGAAAAGAAAGGAAAGGAAAAGGTTTATTCTGCGTCCCCGGGAGACCCACGTACCCCAAGGACAGGGCACGTGGATTCACGCCAACAGGGAGGGGGGCGCCTTTTTTATACTGCGGTTGGGTGAGGGGCGGGGACATGAGCTGAGGAATTCTCTGCTGCAGGGAATGGGCGGAATATTCAGGACGAAGTTCTTATCTGTGTGGGGGTATGTGAATTTAGGGAGAAGAAGCTGGTATCTGTGTCTGGCACCTTGATCTGTGAGAAATTCCAGGGGAAGTCCATTATCTTGTCATGTCTGCATGTATCCGATCCTGGGCTCTCTCCGACCTAACAAAACCCTGAGATGACTAACGTTTTCAGTTTCTGTGAATGGTGAATGGAGATATTTTTAATGAAGGTAGAGATGATCAGAGAAGGGTGGGCCGGGGGTATTGGGGAAGACAGAGTTCAGTTTGAGCCTCTGGAGGTGGGTGTGGATGAGTGTATGTATGTATCATAAGCAACTAGTGGTCAAGAGGGGAAACAAGCCCTTGACTGCAGAAGCTAAGTCTGGAATGGAGATACAGATTGGAAATTTGAATTTATTCATAATCATTTTTTATTGATTAAAAAGACTACATATACATCTTTATCGCCCCATTACCCCCTTCCCCACTTATGCTCCCCCCCGCCATCTGTGTGTTTTAATGCTCCATAGGACTTTGCATTTTTAACTATGGGCAGAGAGGCTTTGTTTTTCAACAGCCGCGAACAAACTGAAGAGGCCTTTTAGAAGGTAAAGTGTAGCACATCCTCAAGAGAATGAGCAAAGAGGGGCCCACAACGCAAATATGTACCTGTGTATTTTATACTGAAAGTGCCAAGTGCACAGACCTCATCTGTCTTGTTCCACTTCTCTACTTTGGCTTCTAAAAGAGAGTCTGCTACATTGCAGCCATGAACATATTAGTGAAATGGATGGAATAAATGGGAGGGTGTGGAGATGGATGGATGGATGGATGGATGGATGGATGGATGGATGAATGGATGGATGGACGATCGAACCTACAGGGTATAATGGGGAGCTGGGAAAAGGCAGAGCCACACCTGATGGTTTTTCTCTTCTTCAAATCTTCTTTGCAAGACTGAAAGATAAGTGAGCGCCAGTGGTTATTCTTAACTTGGCCCCTAATTCAGACTCCACGACTTCCTAGCTGAGTGAAGGGGCCAAGTGACTCAACCTCTCTGAGCCTAGACTTCCTTCCTGTAAAATAAACACAGCAAATGCTTAGAGCAACGCCTGGGGGGGGGGGGGGGGAGTAGATTCCACACCAGAGTGTTATTATTTTTGGCATCTTGATGAAAAAGTAAGCCTGCAAAGCAAGCCAGAAATTCCCTGTTGAGGGTGAATCCAGATACTTAGCCTCTAAGTTTCATTCATATGTGAACACTCACCTTCTCCCTCGCTTTGCCATCCAGAAGCTTTAAACACCCCCCTCCTCCCCAACACACCTCTCACTGGCTAGAGAGAGGCCTGGGTTTTAGTCGCAGCTGCTCCCAGTGAGCTGTGTGGGTGCACGGAGCCCATGCCCACTCTGGGCTCTGCCTGTCCACGCGAGCTTGCAGGAGCTCCGCTCAAGGCTTCTTACAAAACAGACCCCGGTCCCGGCGTCGGCCGCCTGGGACGCCGCGTGGGATCCCGCCAGCGTAGCCCCGATAGGGGTCTCACACCCTCTCCCCGGGGTCTCACACCCGCTCCGCGAGTCCCCGGGCCCCCCGTACGGGGCGCACCCTGGCTCGCCCGGCGCCCCGCACAGCGCAGGAGAGGTGCCTCTCTGGCGCCCCCCGGCCGGGATGCCAGTGTCCGGAGGCGGCGCGCCTTGTCCCGCAGCTTGCCCCGCAGCCCTTTATGCCTAGCGGGCTGGGCCCTCGCTAATGTTTAACTCGGGGCCGAAACTTGGGAGCGCCGAGTGACTCCGGGCCGGCGGGGAGCGGGGAGCTGGACGCGCGTCCCTGGGCGAGTCTGACTTCTGCTGCCTCCCCGCTCTGGACGGACGCTCAGTTCCGAGGAGCCGCCGACGATGAAGGTGAGTGAGTAGCGCGCCTCCCGCTCCCCCAGCCCCAGGGTCGAGGTGTAGGTGCCTCTCCACCAAACTCTCCCCAAATGATCCCCCAAGCCCTCCCCGGAGCGGAACCAGGGGGCTCCTTAGGCAGCAGCGCCAGGGCGGCCCTCTGACAGGTGAAGGGACTTTCTAGATCTCTGCTCTCACTCTGGGACCTGCGGGGTTCGGCTAGGACCCGGGCGCTGAGCCTCGGACGACCCGGAGAGCCACCCCTAAAACGCACGCCAGAACTCTCACTGCGCTTCTGACGTGCAGTCTTAGCAGAAGCAAAGGGTAATGTGCTCAGAGGTCACAAGTTCAAGGGCGACCGCTCTTACAACCTCCCACTGGCTCACTCCCAACCCTCCCAGCCCACCGGGCCCCCTCCCAATGCGCGCCCCCCCACCCCCGGCAACACCCCCCCCACTCCTCATGGCCAGGGGTGCAAGCCCAGGTCCCGACCCCCTCACCCCAACGGGGGCTGAAGGGCTTGATCTAACTGGACTGATCTAACCGCTTGCAGACGCAATGGAAGGTGCTGCTGGGACTGCTGGGGGCTGCGGCGCTCATCACCATCATCACCGTGCCCGCGGTTCTGCTGAGCAAAGGTAGTTTGTCCTCTTTGAAGGAGATACGACAGTTGGAGACCAGGATCTGCTTCTGTTTCACTACAGGAAGGGGGACAGGGGATGTTGTCGGGGGGCTGGGACCCGTGTGACAGGTTGTAGCTGAGGCGTCCCAGGCGTTGCTGCTGCTTCTGGGGTAGCAGTTAGATGGACTTCCGCGGGGTCTCCCGTGTTGATGCTGCAAGAGCCTGTGTATAAGCAACACATACCTCCTGAAATTAGGGAGTGGGGCGGGTTAGGATTATTTTGTAGTAAATTCAAATTAATTTTTTAAATGTTCGTGGTTGTGGTCTTCAAAGGAAAGGAGGCAGTGTTTAAAGATATCAAATGTCACAGGGGTGTGGGCCCCAAAATGCAGTTTGGAGAAGACAGAGCACAGCGCCCCAGGTAGTTTCCCTTCAGGAATAATGGAAACCCCTCAGAGGTGGGTTGCGAAGTTATAGACGTAAGTATTTCAGAGTTAAATCATGAAGCTGCTGGACTACATGATGATATTCAGAGCGGGGTAGAAGCAGTGATGCTTGGTGGGTTCTTTCATTTAAAGCCACCTTCATTTCCTTCAGCTTGGCCAACTGCTCCAGTTCAGCCCTAGCTCTTAATATAAAACATTCATATAACGGAACACGCACAGTTGATGTGAGCACACGAGAAGAACTAGTTTGGGTCTCCTCGGCCCAACTTTCCTTTTAAATATTTATTGTCATTTCAGTGTTACACATGCTGGGCGGGCTAGCTGAAGCATCCACTCTGGATGGTGTAGTCAGCCAGGAAGTGTGTAGATAGTGCTTATATACTGAGGGTGTGTTACCCAAATTTCTGTTCAGAATTGGTTTATAGAGCTATCAAAAACCTTGTTTGCCCAGCAGTTTCAGTTCCAGGGCAAAGGTGCCAAAGGTTAAATAACTGAATGTGTTGACCTATTGATAATGTCTTTACTGACTCAAAGCAATGGTTACTACCATTTTAGACTGTTACATGTCAGGCATCAGTCACACATTTGACTCTGTCATGAACTGTTGAACTTTAACTCTTTTTATAAAACGATACTTTGTATATTTAAACAACCACACACACAAAGCCAAAGAATGGGTCATTCATACAAGTAAATATTCACCTCTTACATTATGTGTCAGGCACTGTACTAGTGGCTGCAAAGACAAAGGTTAAATTTTATAAATGTAAAGAACTCTGACCTCAAGAAGTTGGTAGTAATTTAGTGGGAAACATATGCAAACAAATCAAAGTAACCAAAACATCCCTGAGCCACCACATGGCTCAGGAAGGATAGGTAAAACTGTAATTACCAGAACTTGCCTTAGGGGACGGAACACTCTACTTTGATAAGCCACTTGGGATGGCAGTGAAATGGCCTAGGGCAGTGATTGGCAAACTCATTAGTCAACAGAGCCAAATATCAACAGTACAACGACTGAAATTTCTTTTGAGAGCCAAATTTTTTAAACTTAAACTATATAGGTAGGTACGTTATTATTAACTTAATTAGGGTACTCCTAAGCTGGCCTTTGCTAAAAACGTCCTCAATCTGAGGGGTCGACCTCAGCGAATGTACCCCCACTTCTTCTAACGCCACTTCTTCAAAATAGACTCACCCAGGCCGAAAACCGACTTCTGCGCATGGGCCACGAAGTTTCAATCTCACTGTACGTGCGCGCCCTCACGTGGTATTTTGTGGAAGAGCCACACTCAAGGGGCCAAGGAGCCGCATGTGGCTCGCGAGCCGCGGTTTGCCGACCACTGGCCTAGGGGCTTAGGTCACAAAACTGTCTTCCAAGGGGTTTGGTGGCTAAACTAGGAGTGTTTTGTTTTGTTGAGTGGCTCCTGAAGCCCGGGAGGGGCTGTCTTATCATTTCCCTCCCTTAAAGAGTACTTAGTTTTTCTCTGCAAATGAAATTTGAACAATTATCTCAAGAACATCTTCTCTGATAGGGTCTTCCCCAGAGATTCACGTCTTCACCTATGAATGTGACTCAAGAAGACAAGTTAGTGAGGCTTGAGCAAACTTCCCTGGGGTTAGAAGGATCTTTCTGGGAACGTATGAGGAAAACTCTCCCAAGAAGCTTCCTATGCAGGGAGGCTTGAATGGTTAACACCAGGCTCTGGAGGTCAGGTTTTTCTAGAAAGAATGTGAATGCCTTTCGTGTCAACACAGAGACACCAGATCACATGCTCTAATCTGGGATTATAAAAGGACTCTGAGCAAGAGAGGAAGGTGGGCAGCAGGAAAAGGATATGATTTTAACCTGTAGGGGATGAAGAACTGCTGGAGAATTCTGGGCATGCCTGAACCCTTGGGCATGACAGTAGGAAGGTGAGTTTAAGTGGAGCAAGTCTGGAGGGAAATCAAGGGACGTATCCCCGGAGACTGGTGGTGCAGACCAGAATGTAGAGCCTATACTGTAAAGAGCTACTCAGAAATGTGGATGATTAGGCTTTGCTCTTAGGGAACACAGGAAGTAAGGGGAGCTTGGCTAAGGACAACTCTCGGGAAACTAGGTGGAGATGTGGTTTCATTTTGTGCTTTATTCATACCACCAGTGAAGTTGTCTCCTCATATATTTTTTAAGAATATGTTTTTTTCATTGATTTTAGAGAGAGATGAAGGGAGAGAGAGAAATATCAATAAGAGTGAAACATTGATCAGCTGCCTCCTGCATGCCCCCTACTGGGGATTGAGCCTGCAACCCAGGCAGGTGCTCTGACTGGGAATTGAACCACTGAACTCTTGGTGTTTGGGATGATGCTCAACCAACTAAGCCACACCGGCCAGGGCTCCTCATATTTCTTAAATGGCATTTACAGTTTACATATTTGAGGAGGAAGGGAACTCACCATGTTTCAATTCCTGCCTTGACACAGAATTTTTGCTAAATCAGCCATACCTTTCCTGGGCTGTGCCACTGTAAGAGATTGCATTATTACAAAGAATTCAGAGTTATTACCCCAAAAATGTCTTTCATATCATCAATCTAGGTTTAAAATCAAACACATACCTGGAAGGAAGAGAGGAGGTGAGGCAGGAGAGTGGAAATACAAATGGGAAGGAAAGGAAAAAAGAGAGAAAAGGAAGGAATGAAGGAATAATTTGGTAGAAAAACAAAACAAAATGCTAGATTATGTGGAAAGCAAAGAAATAAACAGCCAAAAGTAAGGAGGAAGAAATGAGCAAACTCAGTTCATTCCCTGAGAGACTGGTTTAAGAGAAGGTTAAGTGTTTCCATATGAAAGGATGACTTCAGCAGAACTAGACACACCCAGAAAGGAGGTGGAAAATGAGTGTGTGTGTGTGGGGGGAAGCCTACTTAATACTAATGTTATATGTTTTTCAGAATAAAAACTCCTTGATGTCAGGAATTATGCATTCACTAAGCAAAATTAAAAGTTCACCTCCTTTTTTATGTACAAAAAAAGGATTGTATTTTGTTTTAAATTTCTAAAATAGCCTCCTAAAAGGGATATTACATATTTAAGCATTCTTTTCCCAGAGAATCAGCAGTAAAACATATATTGTACTCATAATGGATTATAGAAGTCCTCATGGCTTAGTGGCAATAGAACCGTCTCATTCAGTACTTTGATCTCTTTATTTCCCTCTTTAAATTATATGATTGGCTGAGTTTTTAAAATGTTTGTCACATGGTTTTATTACTTCATTTTATTATTTGTCAAATGATTTTATTATTGAGTTTTACTATGGAATAGAAACATAGATGTTCTTTTTTCCTTTGCACTGCTTTAGCAGTAAATTTCCTCAATACCTTTCTGCAGTGCATAGGAAATTTGACTGCTCACCCATCCATCAGTAACAAAAGAAAACCCAAATGTGAAGGAGACAGGAATAATCAAAGAAAGAAAGATAACATCTATGAAGTTTGCCTGAGGAAGTTCAGCATCTATTCCAGGCTTACCAGCACAGAAATAAGCCTGAATGAAAGCTTTGTATATTTCAGGGGCAATTTCTAAACAGTGAGCTCTGTGAAAGCTCGCATTGACTCCAGTTAGCTCAGTTAACTATTGTCAGCCATTGTTGAGTGTTCATAAGGTCAATGGGTTGGTCTTTTTCAGGCCGGCTCATTTGGCATTTGGTTCCCTGGCCATAGCATGTGCCTTTGATTTTTCTCTCTTAGACATCTTGCTGCTCATCCCAAAAGGGATTAGAGAGAAAAAGGGAAGACTCTTTGCCCAATTGATGGTTTTAGAGAAAGCCATAGAAAGGGACTGATTAGAGCTGGATCTATATACTTGAAATTTTATGATTTAACAAAGTGCTAAGGCCAACAGGGACTGTGACTGTAAATGCATGTGGGATCACCTTGCTTGTGGAAAAGAAGGTATGCAAAGATGTAATAACAGCCAACATTGTGTGCCAGGTATGGGGCTGAGGGCTTTTAATATACTTCTCACTTGATTCTTACAATAACCCTTTGAAAAGGATACTATTATCATCCCCATTTTTACAGATGGTTTTCAGAAACTGAGAAGTTGCTTTAATGATTTATTACTGCACAATGAATTACCCCAGAACTTAACACAACAAACATTTGTTACGTCATAGTTGTGTCAGGAATTTGGCAGCAGCTTAGCTGGGTGGCTCTGGTCAAGGTCTGTCAGGAGGTTGCAGTCAAAGTATTATCTGAAAGCTTGACTGGGGCTACAGGATCCACTTTCAAGCTCTCTCACATTGCTGTAAATAGCTACAGGCCTCAGTTCCCCACCATGTGGGCCTCTCCATAGGGTACCAGGGCAGTTGGCTTCCCTTAGAACAGTGGTTCTCAACCTTCCTGACGGCGCTACCTTTTAATACAGTTCCTCATGTTGTGGTGACCCCCAAACATAAAATTATTTTCGTTGCTACTACATAACTGTAATTTTGCTACTGTTATGAATCATAATGTAAATATCTGATATGCAGGATGTATTTTCATTGTTACAAATTGAACATAATTAAAGCATAGTGATTAATC